CTTATTGTTAGATACATTTAAAACAGTGGTATAACAGTACCCTCGCATTTGCATATTTGCAACTTCTGTTGCAATTGTTTGAACATTTATTTATGCAAAAATTGTGATTTTTAAAATTAGTAAAAATAATTTAAAAGGGCAAACAACTTTAAGATTATCTGTCGGTTATAAACATGAATGAAACCACATAAAAATTTACACGCCGAAAAGAAAAAAGATGTTTCGATGGCTAGCTAGAATCTCGAAGCGGTAATTTTAATTTTAAAATAAAAACAATTCCAAATTATTTAAAAAATATTGGAATGCAATTGAATTTTTAATAATTTTTTGGATTTTGAAAAAATATGTACTTGTGAAAAAAATTTCAAATTTATAAAATTAATAATTTTTATATCGACCTATGGTTTTTAACGGCATATTACTTAAAAATTATTTTACACCTTAATTAATGTTTTAGCAACAATGCCGACCATTTTTCAATGATCGGAAACCATAAGGGTCAGAATATAGGGGTTTGCATCCCGGGTTTCTCACTCCTGTATCGACAAATATGTACGGCATTATTGAAAAATATTTCTATATGATATTGTAAGTCTTATTATTATATAAAGGCCGTACAGTAGTAAATAATTTGTATTAAGGAGAAAATAATAGTAACAATAAAATCAATTCTTGCAAGTAATACTTATTTGCAAAAATAAATTTCAAGCCATTTAGAACCATTTTTTTACGTCATTTTGTTTTTATTGATTATTGCCGTCAGTATTAACAAAATATATTAATGCCGTACAAAAATTTTTCATCGTGAAATCCTACTTTTCAGAGGGAAATTAATTTTCCTAAGCACGTTTCATGAAAAATGTACGGCATGTCCAAAAATGTTATTATTTTATAAATTAGAATTAAAATTAGTGAATTTGATGTTGGTTCAAATCACCCTCCATACGCTACTTACATATAGAGGGTTGTACCCTGTATTCCTAACCCCTGTATCAGCAAGTACCTACGTACGGCGTCGCTTAAAAATTTATCTATGTATCGATCCGAAACTTGCAGTATAAATCCCGTACTGTAATAAATCACCAAAACCCGGGCCAAAATTTTCCTGGCTTCCGGTATTACTATTTTTGTACAGCATTCGGACGAGGTTCATTTTTTTTTGTATAACCTATATACTTTAGAAATGCCCCCCTTGGTGGACAGGTTTAGCTTACCTGTGTACTCACTTGTACCAACAAGAATTGACGGCATAGTTTCTAAAGTTATTGTTATATGTGGTAGTATTGATTTATAAGTAATTCATGCTGGGTCAAATGACCCTTTGAAAATTTCCGATGAGTTTGTAGTCTATAAATGGATCTATTCACCCTCAAATGATAGTCTAACCCTAACCGAATGGAAAAATTACCACTTACGGCATGTGCCGAGGCCTTACCGTGTTGATACCATATCATGTCACGCAGTGCTAATAAATCGTGCAACTTATATGTACAATAATTGTAGGTACGAGATAGCATTTAAACAATATGAGAGAATTTGTATTGTTAGTAGATGACTGTTGAAAATGCCACACCACGAGCTAATAAAAAGTCTCTGTTGAAAATTGTGACTCCTAAATGCTTGAGAACTTTTTAGGTAATCATTGTGATTGTTATTGATTCCATTTTTGGTAAAAGTAGCTTAGTTGGACCACAAAATAGAACTAAGAAAATTGGGATTCCGTTTGTATTGCTCGAGAACCCATGGGAAAAATGCTCATCTTGCACTTCATCTCTTGGTTGTAAGTGACGGACACATGGATAATGGTACAAACCTGATTTTTTATTTGGTAAAATTACAATAGAATAGAATTTTATTATTGTGAAAAATAAATGCACAGCTTTCATCACTGGTTCATACATATACTTTCAATATGCTACTTGAAATAGTATAGAAAATTCAGTGCGAATTTTTCTAAAGAAATGAGAATTTTCCCAATGATAGACCAAAAATAATTCCTACAAGTGGTTCAAAAACTATATACAAAGTAAGATTTAGTGAACCTTTATATCTACAAATTTTTACTTAAGACTTTTTTTATGTGGTTATTCCGTATTCTGCCATTGAAATATATAAAGTTTCTCATGAAACACCCTGTACGTTGCTAATTTATTTTATTAAAAAAATGTGAGTTGCCAAGTGGTGTATTGTCAAACACATATAATATAAAACAAATAACATCTCAATTACATGTAAAAGTAAATTATTAAATCAACTCAATTAAACAATATGTTACAAGGCCACTGATAATTTGAATTTAATCATTCAGTATATATTTCAGCTAAGCATATATTATACAAATTGGACGAATATTTTCGGGCTAGTAATTTGATCTGAATCCAGGAATAAAAAAAACATGGGTAGATCAAAAAAAGTTACTAACTTACTTTTATATACCTGATTAGTTATGTATATTAATCTTAATAGTTCATAAATATGAACTTTAGGGATTGCAGGAAAATGTTTTGAGTAAAGCCTTGTAGTTTTTGTAACAACTGACAGGACATAAATATAAAAATGTAGGTGTAAAAATTTATTATCTCATCGTGGGTTGAATAATAGAATTTATACGCTAGAATTAGACATTTTTACATGCAATAACAATTAAATAAATATACACCGTTAAATGTACAAATGTTTTTATCAACTGACGATTTTGTGTCATTGGTTATATACGCTAATAATATTGCGACAGAAATATCTAGTAAACAGCTAAGATCATTCGTCACCAAACTCACCAGACATAGACCGGTTTCAAACTGATTAGTTCTCATCAGTATGATACTACAGGGTGTTACAAATTAGTAGGCAGTTAACAATAAATAAAAAATAATGGGACTTATGCCACTTTCTCATTTCCGAGAACCATTTTCAACATACAGGGTGTCAAAATTAAAACTAAATCGATGTCGCGTATCCAAAACAGCTACAATATCTGGTAAACGAGGTCCCTAATCAAAATCTTAAAAGAGTGTAGTATACAAAAATGTATACAGGTTGTCCCGAAATTAGGAGGCAATAGTTCTACAGGGTGTCCTATGCCGAAAAAGATTACTTTTTCTTTATATAAACGTGAGTCCAAAAATTCTTCCTAAGGAAGGTGTAGCCACTTAAAGGGGACACTCTGATGATGGTCCGAAACCAGTTGAGATAAATTTATGAAATTTAGTAGCTAACTTAACTCTTACGTGCTCAGTCCGCGACTAAAACGAAATTTATCATAACTTTTTTATGCGTTGACTTTTTTGACTTTTGACTGAAAAGTATGAAATTTCAGTTTTTTAGTAAAAAAGGTACTTTTGGTTCATATTGGTGGAATATTCCATTTTTGTGTAAAATTCGTATAAAAATAATGTTAATATGAAGTTTCATACTTTAAAGTCAAAAGTTAAAAAAGTCAACGCATAAAAAAGTTATGGTAAATTTTAACCCCTTCCCCCCAGTGTTGGAACGTATGTGACGAAAATTTGTAAATTTCGTTTTAGTAGCGGACTGAGCACGTAAGACTTAAGCTAGTTACCAAATTTTATAAATTTATATCAACTGGTTTCAGAGTTATTTAGAAAAAACCATCATCAGAGTGGTCCTTTTAACTTTCTTAGGAAGAATTTTTGGACCCACGTTTCTATAAAGAAAAAGTAATCTTTTTCGACATAGAATACCCTGTAGAAATATTGCCCCTTAATTTCGGGACACCCTGTATGTATATTTGTCTTAACTACCTATTCATCTGAGGATGAGTAACTAAAGAAGAAGTTTTGTCATATATGCCATAAAATTTAATTGTATCGAATCATTACTTCTAAATTAGCATGCAATTTTTAGAAATGATTTTATTAATTCTTTTCATTAACATTTAATCTAATAAGCTGATAAACGTCAATATTTCTCAACATACCTACATTTTTAGTAGGAACACAAGAAAATGTTTGATTGTATGTATAGGGTGTCCAAGTACAAAACGTACAAACTTTGGTTTCCTGAAGAAAATTTTACACTGACCAAGGACATGACTATTAACATAGTCTCGAAAATGATTTCTTACTGAGATAAGTTTGAAAATCAATAAACAGCCCGTTTTTCAACCCATTTTCCGAGACATTGTTTAAAATTATTTATGTGGTATATTTTGTTAGTGTTTTTATTCAATTGTTATTTCTTTCACACCAAAAAGAAACAGTTTTAAATTAATCAGAAATATGTCACACAGAGAAAATAATTAGTTACTGTTTTAGACATTTTATATTATTTTAGACAATTGTTTAAATATCGATTGTGTAGCTTTTTACAGATTGAAGATGTGACAAAATTAATGCCGCGAAATTAGTTACGATTAATAAAGGTTATTAAGAGATATTTGTTATTTGATTTTTTGACAATAAAATTATATACTATCTCACTGTGACATATTTCTAGTTAGGAAAATGTTAATTTATAAAACTTAATTAGTCAATTCACTGTAGACAAGTTTTATGAGGTGTTTTTCCAAAATAAAAACGTGTTCTTTTTAAGCTAATTTTATTTGTTTTAGTAAGGAAGCTGTAGGAACTTTTTTTCAGCGTATATGATCCTAAAGTTTGTACCACCCTGTGTTTTCCCACATATTACCAGACTTATCGATTTTCATGCCGAAAACTTTAGCAAAAATTTATAATCCAGTGAAAACCACTATCATATCCCTTAGCTCTTCTTTTCATTAAAAAAGTATACTTTTTCTCACGAAATAAATTTAAAAAATTTGAATCAAAGTTTGTTACAGAAAACTAATATATTTCGTAATAATTAATTTCTAATATATAAAGGGCTTTATATTATGTAAAGCAGCTTCATATAAGCTACTAAACTGCATTTTCATATATTAAGTAGGTATTCAAAAAATGGGTGTAACCATAGCTTGTTTCTGCATCGCATAGGTCACTGCATAAACGAGATTAGGCACCTAATTACTGAATTGAACTCACCTGAAATAAAAATTCAGCAACATCTTCTACAAGTATAAATGAACGAATTAATTAATCTCTAAGAACACATCACATTCTTTAATTATAATTTATATCGTTTAATTACAATAGCACATTATTTTATACAAATTCTTTGAACATCGCGTAATCGTTCGTTGTCAAGCACGAAACGTTAGACTAGGAAGAAAACATCTAATTACAAGTCCAGTCTATGACCGACTGAAATGCTGTGCTAAGTTGTGGAATCTCTGAAAGCTTACAGCTGAAAAATCTGTGCTTCTGGGATGTGTGATTCATTTCGGTAAATATGCCTGGAGCCGGAATTTTGATACACGAAACAGATCCATACAGTTGATTTATGAAAAAAACATACAATTATGTAGTCTTCATTCATAGTCGCCCAACAGATGATTTTTCAAAAAAAAAATCACAGAAAATATACAGGGTATAAGAAGTTTGACTGCCAATACTTCAGCGTGAGATAGAGTGATCATAAATGAACAAAAAAGTTGTATATTACAGGGGCGTAAGATTAACAATTTTCAAAATACAGCGAGTATTAATGTTGGGGAGTTTCATGACAACGTGACAACAGCGCTTAACCTGTTGATGCACACCACGTGTACACGTGACAGACTTGTCCTACGGAAAAAATGTAAACAGCTATTATTGTGAAACATTTAGTAAATTTCAAGACAATTGTTTTCCAGTTTTTAAATAAATAAAATAAAATGTGTATCGATTTTGTACGAAGATAGTGTTGTGCTTAAATTTTAGCTCGAATTTTAGTAATTATGAATATCTTAAAACATGAGAAGTAGGTTAGCATATGGCATCTGTTTTTGGGGTGGGTCTACTATGACTAGATATATTTTTATGTCAAAAAAAGATATTAAGATGCATTGCAAATGTTTGTGTTCGTGTAGGAATTTATTTAAGAATTACCGTATTATATATTTGAATTAACTGTGTATAGTTATATTTAAAAATAAAACTAAATTTATTAATAATATCGACTCTCGTCAGGTTAGTACCCGCCACCGACAAGATTTTTATATACCTTTTAGGAAACTAAATGTCACTAAAAATTCACCAAGCTGTTTGGCCCCTAAGATTTTTAACAAGTTGCCAGATGACATAAAAGACTGTAATACCTTATGTCTGTTTAAAAAACGACTGAAATTTTTCTTATTGGATCTATGTCCATATAGTTTGAATGAATATTTTGGATGAAATTTTGTATTTTGACTTCTTTTTTACTTGTATGTGCATTTTATAGGTTTTCTTTGACACATCCTTATACAATTGTACAAATTGTCTCTAGGAATAAATCAGATTATTATTATTATTATTATTATTATTATAGTACATCGTTCATTCGTAATATCTGCAAACGGTGGAAAATTTTAGGATAGATTCAGGATTGAAGGGTACAAAATAAACATTTTTTTATAAATAAATTTTGTATAAAATCTCAATTTATAAGATACAATGGTTTAAATTTCTTAAGAAAGTTTTTTATTGATTGCCGCTGGACAAAAAAATCAATAATTACATTTTAACAACATTAAAAAAATGCTGCCCCTGCTTTTCAGCACAGTAACGCACGAATAATTCAATTTCCCGACATTTGCTCTATCAATTCCTTTGTAGCAACGTTGATATCGCAGCTTTTCAGCCTTCCAGTTGTCCCCATAAAAAGAATCCAGTGGGTTGAGATCGGAACTACGTGGGGGTCATTGAGTAAATCCACCGTTTAGGAGCACATGTTATGTTGCATAGCCAATGGAATATTTTTTTCAAATCCAACGCATAAATTTAAACCAAAACATTGCTGAAAGTTACTAAGTCGGATCGCATGAAGATTTTTATCAATCTATTCGTTCTGAAACAGCATTCGTCAGTTACCAGTAGGCTTCTTGGAAAACTTACAACTGCGTCAGTAGGATTGAACAGCCACCTACAAAACTGCTGTTGCAACGGATAATAATAACACAGCCACACAAAAAAAAAGTTGGGTATACTTTTTATGCGACATATATTTTTCGTAGTAATTTGGCCTCCTGAACACGAATCTGGGGTCAGAATTGGCCCATCACGTCACAATTTTTTCCTAACCTCAAAAAACTTGTGAAAAATAGTGAAAATTGATGAAAATTTACTGGGAAAATTTGGAAAAAAATTTATTTCCACATCAAATAGTACATTTTTATGTAAAAGACTCTGCTGAATTCAAATCCACTGTCAGAATTGAGCTAGAACGTGTGGTTTTTTTTCTAACCTCAAAAAACCGAGCAGGAATCGCTATTTTCAAATTCTGAGCGGATTTTGACCAGATTTTGTATAAAGGGGTTTTTTGGGTCGCTGATTACGAATATGAATTCACATTGTAAAAATTCAAGATGGCTGATCCAATATGGCGGGTGTACTTTTTTGAAATCCACCGATTTCAGTAAAATTTGGCATCATAAGGATTGCTGGTTGATCTCACCTTCATTAATCACACATCTGGAGCCAGATTTTCATAAATCAAGGTAAAATTTGTAGGCAGAGTCATAATTTTAGGCCGAGTAGGCGGCATTTTTTCGGCAAAGTCACATTTTTAGATTGAAGGCATAAGCAGATGCAGTGATGTGCTGTGTGGCAGTAATGTGTCCTTTTCCTTGAACTTTAAAATTATTAAGAAATAAAAGCATCTAAATGCCATAGGAAAACTGCATAGTAGTTAAAAAAATCTGATTGGAAAACCATAAGCCCATGCACGACTAAATAAATGAAAGAATAAAGTAGAAACTTTTTTGTCTTGTCCCATGGAAACAAGCACATCACACTACACATCATTACATGTGTAGAGTCCTTAAGTCATTTTTTTAAGCGAAGTCACATTTTTAGACGGAGTGGAATCTTTTACCTTGATTTATGAAAATCTGGCTCCAGATGTGTGATTAATGAAGGTGAGATCAACCAGCAATCCTTATGATGCCAAATTTTACTGAAATCGGTGGATTTCAAAAAAGTACACCCGCCATATTGGATCAGCCATCTTGAATTTTTACAATGTGAATTCATATTCGTAATCAGCGACCCAAAAAACCCCTTTATACAAAATCTGGTCAAAATCCGCTCAGAATTTGAAAATAGCGATTCCTGCTCGGTTTTTTGAGGTTAGAAAAAAAACCACACGTTCTAGCTCAATTCTGACAGTGGATTTGAATTCAGCAGAGTCTTTTACATAAAAATGTACTATTTGATGTGGAAATAAATTTTTTTCCAAATTTTCCCGGTAAATTTTCATCAATTTTTACTATTTTTCACAAGTTTTTTGAGGTTAGGAAAAAAATGTGACGTGATGGGCCAATTCTGATCCCAGATTCGTGTTCAGGAGGCCAAATTACTACGAAAAATATATGTCGCATAAAAAGTATACCCAACTTTTTTTTTGTGTGGCTGTGATAATCGTTGAAAGTTAAGTCCTTCTAATTCAATGCTGAGGTATTAGTTCGCAGAGTAGTCGTTTCAGGCATTATCATGAGTTTAAAAATTGTTTCGCCTAGTGGTAATTTAGGGCGTACTTTCAGTACCCGCGAAATAGCAGGTCGCTCTGTGTCAGTTTGGTCGTTTATAGATTTGTATTGAGTAGCAGGAACATTCATAGATATTGTTACATCCCATCTATACTCATTTCACGTATGTAGTTAAGGTACCATAAATGTATTCATTGGTTATGGAATTCTGATAAGAACTAATAAGATCAAAACCGGTATAGGTTTGTGGCTGACGAATGATCCAAATGTTTACTAGATATTGTGGGTACAATTGAATGTTGGTTGGAGCAGTAACCTGCAGAGTAATCGTTTCCTGCAATATAATCTGTTTAAAAACATCAGCGGTAGTTATTCTCAAACTATTTAGATTAGTGGAAAATAAGATAAATTCGTGTTATAAGGAAGGTATCATACATGTTGGCAGCACGAATTTTCTTTTGTATTCCGTCTTCAAGTTCGTATTCCTTTCATTTTTTTTAGATTTTATTCTTTCTGTAACTATTTTTGCAAATGTCTTCTGCTTGAAGCATTCCTATAGAGTTTGTAAGAATCAAGTGTCCAGATGGTCTTGGCTGATTATTATTCAAAATTCAATCATATTTCAATAATTCTTATGAGATAATATACAGGGTGGGCCACCTGTAACGCCTCGGTCGCTAGTGACCAAACGGCAAATGTTACAGAAACCTGTTTAGGTGGGTATGTGTAGGTTGATTACGGCTACATTTTAAAAATATTTTGAAATATACAGGGTGTCCAGGAAAAGCTTACCATATCAAAGTTATGTTTTTCTAATTGGAACACCCTGTATTTTACTGTATTTTTGAAAGCACCGTAAAAAAATAGGTGAACTTTATTATAGGTTCTGCATATCTAGGACTTACAGTTTGTGAGATATTTCAATTTTAGTGAAAATGCAGGCATAGCGTAGAAATTTAATATTAGCAATAAAAAAATTATTTTAAGGAAGCAGCTTTGAAGGGTCTATTTTAGATGCTTGAAGTTATAAATTGTTATATTTGTCGTCACTTAGTATTATACAGGGTGTTCAAAAAACTGCTGAATACTTCTCTCAACTTTAAACAGCAATAACTTGGTTATTTTAAATGGAACACCCAGTATATTTTTACTTTGAGAGTTAGGAAATTTAAAACTCTTTCAAACTGTATATAGGTTTCCTATACCTATCTCCAACGGTATTGGAGATATTTGTGCCGTTTCGTTTTTTATCGATTTTTTTTGTAAGATGTATCCACGTGTCTCTATCGAGGTCTTTACTGAATTGGTTTGGGTTCTTCTTGATGACGTCTCTGTAAATATAAGGAGAAAAATGTGAATGCAAATACATGGCACACCTGCACATTTTTCATATTCAGTGAGAAATTATATAAATCGATAATTAAGTAATAAATGAGTAGGTAAGAATGGTTCATGTCAGTGGCTACCACAGGTGTCCAAACCTCTCGTAATGGACTTCTTTGTTTCGGGCTGTATAAAAATATATCTTGTACACAGTGTTCCACCTACTACTTGCGATGATATGAAGGAAAGGATTAGATATGCATTTGCCACAATCACCCCAAATATTCTAAGGAATGTGAGAATATCATTTGAAGATAGAATAAGATGCTGTATTCAAGAGAATGGTTATCAATTCGAACATCTATTAAAATTTTTCTTTGTTTCTTCTAAAAGTAAAATTTTCTTTAATAAATATTTTTCATGTTCATAAATAATTCAGTTACTTACTACAAACATATTTATACAAAATTAATAACTTTTTATAATTATTCGGCTTATAAAATAATATTTTTTATTAGAAAACTTTTTTGAATATTTTCATGATAATGATAAAAGGAACTTTTACTTTTAGAAAAAACAAAGAAAAATTTTAATTGATGTTCGAATTGATAACCATTCTCCTGAATACAGCATCTTATTCTATCTTCAAATGATATTCTCACGCAAATGCATCTCTAATCCTTCCCTCCAATATCATCGCAAGTAATAGGTGGAACATTGTATACAAGATTTTTTATATAGCTCGCAACAAAGAAGTCCATTACGGTGAGGTCTGGACACCTACGTGGCCACTGACATGCACCATTCCTACTTATCCATTTATTACTAAATTTTCGATTTAAATAATTTCTCACTGAATATGAAAAATTTGCAGGTGCGCCATCTAATTGCATCCTCATTTTTCTCAATATATTTAAAGAGACGTCATCAAGAAGAACCCAAACCAATTCAGTAAAGACCTCGATAAAGACACGTGGATACATCTTAAAAAAAAAATCGATAAAAAACGAAACGGCACAAATATCTCCAATACCGTTAGAGATAGGTATAGGGAACCTATACACAGTTTGAAAGAGTTTTAAATTTCCCAACTCCCAAAGTAAAAATATACTGGGTGTTCCATTTAAAATAACCAAGTTATTGCTGTTTAAAGTTGAGAGAAGTATTCAGCAGTTTTTTGAACACCCTGTATAATACTAAGTGACGACAAATATAACAATTTATAACTTCAAGGATCTAAAATAGACCCTCCAAAGCTGCTTCCTTAAAATTATTTTTTTATTGCTAATATTAAATTTCTACGCTATGCCTGCATTTTCACTAAAATTGAAATATCTCACAAACTGTAAGTCCTAGGTATGCAGAACCTTTAATAAAGTTCACCTATTTTTTTACGGTGCTTTCAAAAATGCAGTAAAATACAGGGTGTTCCATTTAAAAAAACATAACTTTGATATGGTACGCTTTTCCTGGACACCCTGTATATCTCAAAATATTTTTAAAATGTAGCCGTAATCAACCTACACATACCCACCTAAACAGGTTTCTGTAACATTTGCCGTTTGGTCACTAGCGACCGAGGCGTTACTGGTGGCCCACCCTGTATAAGAAAAAATACTTGTAGTATGAATTATATTTTTAATTTTACATCAATTTCGTTAACTAAATTTGATTCACAATTCTAAACTAGGGACATTCCAATTGAGTTTCTGTGATCTGATATGATTGTTCAATTTGCTTTAAAACGTTTTCTAAATTCTGAAAAATAAAATATGTTAGAGATGATTTAACAAGAATATGGTATGAGGCTCGAACTATGGAACTAAACTTGTTTACTTTTTAAAATGTTAATGAAAAATAAAAGAAGAAACTAAATGGTGAGGAATTTCAGAAAGATTTTTTTACGATACGAAAATCCTTATATTTTATATTTAAAACACAAAAATTATATCGTATTACCTCGATTAAATTATCAAATGAATTCCGATGAATGTTAATACAAGCTGATATGACATCGTACAGCAGTTCCAACTGGGCTACAGTCATGTTCTTTGACGTTACAAGTGCCGCATGCTTCCAAAGTTTATATATTGTCTTCATATGGGAATCTGAAAATATACTTACATGAAATATTCGTAGTAAAACTGTTTAGTAAATTTCTCTTTCAGAAAATATTAATTAAATCTCTAAATACGCTAGTAGGATTTCAAAAAACTTTAATAATTGCATTTCAGAAAGTGAGAACTGAATTTCGGCAAATTTGTTTGTATATGGGTGAGACATAACCTATAGAGACCAGTAGGTATATCTTAATTGTCACTGCTTACTCAATGCTCAGTCACAAAAAGCACTGCTTTGTATGTACTGGCTAAGAGCGACCTACCAATCTGTAGGTACCATTGAGTTTCATTGAGTACCGAAGGAAGGGCTAACGCTTGCCCATAAATTTTGGTGTTTGTAGGCCGTCAGGATCCAGGGGGCCTTGCGATCGATGGCCTCAGATCGAACTAACTGCGCATTTGTCATTAGTATTTATTACATTTATTACTTTTATTACCTTATTATTATACATAGTTTAAGCAAGATTAGTGTCGCATTAGGTGAGATCATAATACGAAGATTGCGCATACCTGCAGTCATGTTGTGACGTCACGTGGATAGTAAATAGCGATTTGTGGATATTGTCTGTGCCGAACATATTTGCATTCTATACAGGGTGTAACGTAAAGGTTGGGAATAAATTAATCGGTGGATTCTTTAGTTTAAAAAATAAATTTTTGTCATATGAAGTTATGCTCTACGGGTTTTCTTTTCCAAGCTACAGGGCGTTAAAAAATATAAAAAAAATAGTTTTTCTCCAATAACTTTCGAACATTAGAAGGTAATGGAATGAAATTTTATCCATAGCTTAATTTGATAATCCTTGAGTAACAGGAAAAAGATTGGCTTTGTAAGTTACTCAGTGGCGTGCGTACGGATTATACCGTAAGGTTTTTCGAAGAAAATTGTGGTAAGCCACTGGTGAAAACATTTTTTTGATATTTTTTTATTATCCACTTTTTATTTTAAACAAAATTACCCTCTTGCGTTTTATTCCTAGCTCTTGTCACTTTTCCGTAAATAAACGTTTTGTAAATACTATTTTTTCCCACTGCTAACATAGGAAAATGAAAATAAAAACATTATGAAGTTTGCTTTGACCAAGCAACCAAAATTTGTTTTCAGACGTTTTCAGACAAAACATCATGCATCGTCAGTTATGACATTTAGCTTTCCTTAAACGGTTGTATTTTGGTTTAGATCTGTTAGAAATGGACTACTCATTTCCAGAATTAGCAGATATGCATTTTATTTACGGCCTTGCCAACGGGAATACTGTGTTAGCTGTGCGACTTTAGAAGAAGTTCCAATTGAAATACGCCAGAACATGTGGTTTATGCATGATGGCGCCCCAGCTCACTTTAGGCGAGAAGTTAGAGAATACCTCAATGAAACGTTCCCCAATAAATGGATAGGTCGTGTAAGGCCAAGAGCGTGGCCTGCTCGTTCTCCCGAACTTAATCCGTTAGACTATTATGTGTGGGGGCACTTAAAAACCATAGTTTATTCCGTTCCCATTTCTGATGTACAGATTCTTCGTCAAAGAGTTGAAATGGGCTGTCAGCTAATTCGAGATATGCCTGGAATTTTTGGACGAGTAAGAGAATCCATGAGAAAACGCATTGAAAAATGTACTGAAGTTGGGGGGCAACTTTTCCAGCACATTTTGTAATCTTGTTTGTTGTTTATTATTTCTTATTACCTACTCAATAAATTCTTTAAATTCCTAAGTCACTAGTGTTTTTTTATTATTGTTAAAATAATGTGATACTTTAATATCATTTTCAATACAAATAAGTCTTTTTTTAATGCCTATTTGACCATTTTTGGTGGCTGAGTCAAAGCATACATCATAATGTTTTGTTATTTTCATTTTTCTATGTTAGCAGCGGGGAAAAATGGTATTTACAAAAGTTTTATTTGCGGAAAAATTACAAGAGCTAGGAATAAAACGCAAGAGGGTAATTTTGTTTAAAATAGAATGTGCATCATAAAAAGATATTAAAAAAATGTTTTTACCAGTGGCGTACCACAATTTTCTTCGAAAAACCTTACGGTGTAAGATGTATGCACGCCACTGAGTAACTTACAAGGCCAATCTTTTTCCTGTTACTAGGGGATTATCAAATTAAGCTATGGATAAAATTTCATTCCATTATCTTCTAATGTTCGAAAGTTATTGGAGAAAAACTAAATTTATTGAAATTTTTTAGCGCCCTGTAGCTTGGAAAAGAAAACTCGTAGAGCATAACTTCATATGACAAAAATTTACTTTTTAAACTAAAGAATCCACCGTTTAATTTATTCCCAACCTTTACGTTACACCCTGTATATTTGTGATGATCTATACATAAAATTTTTGAATCCTCGCTGATCATTAACATTATTGACTATTAATAATAATTTCTCGAAATGGATCGTTCCGTTCTTTGGTTGTACCAAAGACAACTACGTTAATTTCTTTACGACCATGTTTTCCATTTTCCAAATAATGTAAACTATTTAAAAATATGTATTAATACTTGCGGACATAGATACATATTTAACACCAAAAACGTTTGGGTTTGTTTAGGACATTTTAAAACAACCGACTATATTCGTAATAAAGCAGACGTACATATCTAGCAAAAGCAAATACTTGCCGAACGAAATGTCAGAATCCAACAAAGATTCAGAAAAAGCAGCACAATAGGAATTACCGAATAATGTTGATAATACTGAAGAGTATACACCGTGTCCCATTTTAAATAACACATTGCAATATCTTCTTAATTAAGGAAGGTCTTTCAAGAAAAACTTTTTAAACAAAAGTTGGAGGGTTCTAAAGCGATGGTGAACTTGAATTTTTAAATATGATAGATATATTTCTAACACGGAAATGGATAGAGAGAATAATGCGTTCAGATATGTCTTTATGTTATGGGTCAAAGTGACACTAATAGGTTATTTTAGGATCAAATACTGTTACGAATAAGATTTTGCGATATTTTTCGGGACAGCACTTGCGACGAAGGATTTTGGTTGAAAGTCTTATGGTTTGAACGGGATCATACCATGATGGCCTTGACCATGACCTAGAAGTCATGCTGAAGGTTCTTTGAAGGTCAAATCAAGTTACGAAATAGGAGAGCTCTGTTTACAGACCCATTAAGTTAAGGCACGATCGTTATGTCCCAGCCAGTCAAGGCAAAATCGCTATAATCTGGCCATACTCCAATAGCAAATCAACACTAATAAGACATGGTGTTAACATATAAAGCCGGTGATAAAAACTGTAAGTTAACTGCACATCTTTATGTAAAGCGATTTGTGTAAATACTTACGAAGACAGTGGTTCCAAAAATGTTACTTCGAATTATTGTGGTAATATGTACAATAGATTTTAAAAATATTCTAATTGCAAAGAATATTTTTATCGATGTAACTTTTGCACAGTAGTATATTTATTTTTCAAATATTTCGTTTGTAAATTGATACCTTCTGAAATAGTTGTTTTGAAATAGTGAAATAGGAATGACGAAAGAGGAATTTACACTTTCTGTTGACTGTTCTCAAATACAATTAACTCTTTCTAATATACATCTGGAGAGAGGAGAATAGAATATATAGAGATTTGAAGTATTGTAGCATGGTATTACGATATCAATACAAGCAAATGTTTACCGTCTAAGTTTCTTCTACAGGAAGATGACGTGCTTGGTGCGGCATAAGACTCCGTCTTCGGTTCTAATTTCACCAATTTGTCGCACGTGGTGGTTTCTTTTGGTCTTGGACGAGAAGAGCAGCCTCGACAGACATCGGTACTCCTCTGATTCAACAAATCGGATAGCACTCTGGTGAAGTATTGCTTATTCTTTAGCGACTGGAACGACGTCAGGCTATCGCATCGTCGGCTTTTTCGACTGCTTTTTTCTTCTGTGAATTAAAAAAAATAGAACAATAGACAGAGGGTTTCAGAATAACGCACCATGAATTCAGGAGCTCGTGGCACATAAAAAATAAGACAAATTTTTCCTATGGACCATCGACTATCGTCTTTTATTTTTGGATAAACTGTGTCAAAAAAGATTTCTCTAAAATAAAATCTTAGTTGTATCTTCTCCAAAAGAATCCATGTATTGCAATGATATTTGCTACAAGTAAGTTCATTTTCAAAAATTTTAAAGACAGTAGGTAAGTACCTTACAATTTTCATAAAAATCCAATCTTACTTTATATGATATATAATACTTTTTACAGTATATATAATTTAAATTTTATTTTTTTAAATTTTACCTAACGTTAAAAAATTGTGCTAAAAAATGTCACTAGAGAGATCGTAGTTGGCGGAAACTAACAATACGATATATTGCCTCTACCACATTTCAATGTGATAATATGTATATTGTTTATTGATTGCTATAAATTAATTTCAAAAAACATCTTAAGTATTCTGTATATAAAAAAAAACAAAAGACGAAAAATCCATGGTCCATAGAAGCAAATAATCCTATTTTATGAAGATATTATAAGCTCCTAAATGCATAGTACGTTATTATGTAAAATAGGAAACGAAATGAAAAAAATACGTTTAGAAAAATGTGAAACCATGTTATTGTTTTCTTTTTGTAGGGATATCTTCAACTTCGTTAATCACCTGTTGTTACATTTAATGTATTTGAGGAGTAATCGTATGAGGGTGTTCATTCTCAGCGTACATTTTTTAAAAATCCCATCTTCACTGAAACGCTGATGTAAACTACTAACCATCGTATGATACGGAATAATGTTGTTAGTAAATGCCCATTGACACTGTTGACAGTAATGTATTAATTTCGCATTTTTTATTTAGAAAAAGAAAATATAGTAAACAAAGAAAGTGAAATATGTAGCTTTTATCAGTCTAAAACTATAACTAATCAATCTTAAAAATTTTTATGTTTTTTTTGTAATGCACACCGACAATTTTTTTTTACTAAAAAGGGAAGTTGTTAGTGAAAAACCCAAGAAACAAAAAAGTGTTTAAGTGAAGTTTTTAAGTAAAATTCTTTGAATTGCAAATATTCAACTCCATAAAAAGAAACAATGAAAAAGCTATAAGTAGTCTCTAGATATTGATAACACAGCCACACGAAAAAAAAGTAGTCTGTACTTCATGCAACATAGTAGTATTTTTGCCTCCTGATCACGATTCCGGTGTCAGAATTGAGCTATCACATCACAGGAATTTCCTAACCTCAAAAAACTGGTCAAAAATAGCAAAAATTCATGAAAAAGTGCTAGGAAAACTAGAAAAATTTTTGTTTTCTATATTTAAATGTTCATTTATATAGTTAAGACCCCGTCGAACGTGAATTAGCGGTCAGAATTGATGGTTCTTTTTCTAACCTAAAAAAAAACGAGTCAATTAAGGTCAGATATGACGAATTTTCAAAAAATAACAAATTCGCGCCAAATTTGGTATACGGGGGTTTTCGAGGTCACTGATCACGGATCCGAGGACAATTTTGCTAAATTCAAGATGGCGGATCCAAGATGGCCGACCAAATTTTCAAAAAATAACAAATTCGCATCAAATTTGGTATAAGGAGGTTTTCGGGGTCGCTGATCACGAATTCGAGGTCAATTTTGCAAAATTCAGGATGGCGATCGACCAAATATTCAATAAATAACCAAATTTGGTATACAGATGTTTTCGAGGTCACTGATCACGAATCCGAGATCAGATTTACAAAATTCAACCCGTGAATAGATCTTTTACAGAAAAAAGAACCATATAGCCGAAAAAAGTAGATTAACACATGACTGGGTACTCAGGTTATAAAGTAAAATATTACAAATTGAGTATAAATGAACATTTAAATATAGAAAAAAAAATTTTGTACGTTTCCTAGCACTTTTTCATGAATTTCTGATAATTTTTATCTGTATTTTTGAGGTTATGAAATTCCTGTGATGTGATAGATCTATTCTGACACCGGATTCGTGATCAGGAAGCGCCATTATTCTATGGCTAGAAATTGGCCTCAATGATTTGGGATCGAGGGGGATTATCCCTCTTTATCCTGCCTCATCTCGTGTAGGCCTGGACAGCCTTCGTAGGTGGGCCCCATCCGTCGTCTACCCCGACCGCAAATGCGGCCGGTGTAGGCGCTTTGTGGGACCTCCTTTTGTCCTGCCTGGGCCCCGCCGGCTAGGGCCCTTTCTTCTGGCGCTCTTCTTGCTTCGCCGGCTCGTCTGTGTAAACCCCGGGGGTAGTGTCATGTTTATGTGTGGTATGGTTGGGTAGGGTAGTGCGGCTATGCAGCCTGGGATGCGCTTTGCTAAGGTGGCCCTTAGGCTAGCGCGGGAGGGGAGGGTTAAGGAGGGTATGGGGGGTGTGTATGTGTGTGTGTGTGTCGTTGTCTTCGTTTCTTGATCCTGGCTGTCTCTGAAACAGAAAAGGTTAGCGGGCAGGGGGGGGGGTCATTGGGGTGGTCACCCAGGGTCAAAAAGTTGGTGTCTAGGTCTTTTGTGTTTGTCGGTCACGTCGGGTACGTAGTCAACGGCTTGCCTGAGGAGGGGATTGTCATGTCTAGCGGCTACGTCAAATCGTTTCTCCGCGTTTTGTCTTATTGTCTGTGTAGCGTTTGTGTATTGTAAGTCTCGTAATATGTCAGTGTTTCTTACGTACCAGGGCGCGTCGGTGGCCGTGCGGAGGGCTATGTTTTCCACAGCCTGTAATGACTTTAAGTGGCTTTTTGCCGCGTGACCCCACGCCGTGGAGGCGTAGGTTAGCTGCGGTTGAAGTACCACCTTGATAAGCGTTCGCTTATTCCTTAAACTGAGGGTGTTTCCACCTTTGAGTAAGGGATAGAGCCTAGCCGTGGTGGTCTTCGCTCGCGCCACCGTCTCCACGATGTGCGGTTTCCACGTGAGACGCTGGTCCATCGTCACGCCCAGGTATCGTGTTTGTCGATTCCAGGAGATAGGTTCCTGGGATAGTGTCAGTCTGTCGAGGTTTTGTGGGATTTTTCGTTTGGTAAAAAGGATAGCCGAACTTTTGTTGGGATTAATTTTGACTTTCCACCTGTTGCACCAGGTTTCAAGTTGGTCTAAGGAGTTTTGGAGGAGGGAGACGGAATATCTAGGATCTACGGATTGGGATGTGATTGTCAGGTCGTCGGCGTATAAGTATATGTCGGTGTTGGGGGGATGTGGGATGTCGGAGTTGTAAATGGTGTATAGGTGTGGGGACAGGACGGTGCCCTGGGGGACACCGGCCTCCATGGGACGGGTGGTGGAAAGGGAATCTTGGATTTGGATGCGGAATTTTCGGTGGTGTAGGTAGGATTTTATGAGTTTGGTAAAGGATATGGGATATTGGTTGGTGAGCATTTTCATCAGTAGGCCTTCATGCCAAACCGTATCGAAGGCCTTTGCGACGTCCAGGAAGACAGCACCAGTGTACTGTCTCCTGTTGAAGGCCGCCGTGATGTGCTCGGTAAGGCGAAGGATTTGGAGTTCAGTGGAGTGATTGGGTCGGAAAGCGAACTGCTCGTCTGGAATGACTTGCAGTTCTTGGGAGTGGGTTCTTAGACGGGTTAGGATAATTTTTTCTACCACTTTGCTCATAGCCGGGAGCAGGCTAATGGGCCGGTAGTTGGATGGGATGGTGTGATCTTTGTTGGGTTTTGGGATAAGGATTATGTTTGCTGTTTTCCAGCGGGTAGGGAAGTGTCTTAGTCTGAGTGTCGCGTTTGTTATGTTTAGTAGGGCCATGAGGCCCTTGTGTGGTAGTCGTTTAAGTGTCGTGTTATGTATATTGTCGGGTCCGGGGGCTTTTCTGTTTTTAAGTCTGCGTATTGTCAGTCTTAGTTCGTCAGGTGTTGCGGGGGGGATTATGTCATTGTCTGGCTCTCTGTCGACGCGTCGGGCCGCGCGCTCAGCCACTATCTCGAATTCCTCGTCTTCGTCGGGGATCAGGAAGCAAAATACTACAGATAACATAGGTCGCATGAAAAGTACAGACTACTTTTTTTTGTGTGTGTGACTGAGTAATCGACAGTTGTTAATACATCTTGTACAATTGTCACATATTTTAAACAGTTTATTACATAACGCTAGTTTTTTAAATATAAATAGCGCAAATTGGCATATTAAATCGCCATTTTGGAGCAAATAACAATTCAGTGTTGTAATCAACCCCAGATAATTAAAAATATCAGTGTAGGAAAGGCTTTGACAAAATAAACATTTTTCTTCGATCGGGAAAATAAAATAGAAACTGAATTTTCTTTAAGGGGTTAGACCCCTTAACACCGATAGACGTTTCTAGAAATAAATTTATACAAAAGACCCTCCCTACTTTTTGACAAGAAATCGCTCTTTTTAGAAACCTGTATATTTACTTTTTATTTGCTTGTGTATATCATAGAGGCTACCAGCGCTGTTCGACCGCACAACACCAAACTTGCTCTCACAAAATTTGATCTTCTTTCTAAGTGCGTGACACGAATGTTCCCTCTTCCTCTTCCCCCTCAAGCAAGAAGCATTCTGCAACGATTCAGTGGCGCCTCCCACTTCACAGGGGCATTCTTCGTTGTTTTTAATAACCTTCCTCCTGGCACCTGTCTTGCTGCAGCAGTCGTCGCCTGGAATAGAACGCGGTTATGATTTAAATTAAATCGGGTCGTACAGATATACACTTTATGATTTTCTTCCCTGAGAAGTCATACTTCCTGCCGTTTACCAGGACCTTGTAGACGCTCAAACCTAATTCGTCGAAGAACAGAGGTGCCAAGAATGTTTCTCTTTCTTCTTTGTTCGGGTCTTCTATCCTTATCAGTATGGTGCTGTTGTTGTAGAAGAAATTGTGCAGCTAAATGTTAATATTTATTAGTTTGTACAGGGCGTAACGACGACGTTGCAACAAACTTTTAAGACTGACTCATCTCGTTAAAATAAATAAGAAAACAAGAGTAACACTTATTCCTAACCTAACAGCTCTACAATTCTTCAAAGATTGGACATGAAAAGAGTTTAGTCAGTTACCTAAGGACAATTGAAGCAAAACAAACGGTACAGTGCAGTTTGTACATAGTGGCTCACAGTGGTATGTACATGTGTCACATGTGTAATTTATCAAAAAAAATTGGGAATAGATGCATCATGAAAAACGGAATCAATATCGTAAAAAAATGTTTATAAAATCATTAAAGTTTCCGAGTAATAAATTATTGAAGCTGTAGTATTTTCAACCCTTACATTGCTGGGCTACTATACTCTGAAGTGTTATTCGCGTTGTGCGTTATACGCAATGCGCTCCTCCTCCACGTAGCCCCAGGCGATTCCGAATACTGAAATTCGATTTTAGTATTAACGTTTTTGCGATAGTGTTTACATTAGTTTTTAAAATGTCAAAACTGGCTTAATTTTAATGCAACTCGAATTGACGGATTCGTTTTAATTTATGGTGAAGCAAGACAACATTTGTGTTATGGTGAAGCATTTGTGTTATGTTGAAGCAAGACAACATTTGTGTTAGTTCGTAGAAACTAGGTAAGACGGGCTCAAATGTATTGCTATACACGTAGTATAGCAACTCTGAGTTGATGGGTTATCGTTTTAATTTACGGTGAAGCAATACAACATTTGTGTTATGGTAAAACAAGACAACATTTGTGTTAGTTCATAATAACTCGGTAAGACGGTCCCAAATGTGTTAACACGTAGGTGAACAAAATTTTGAACAGTTGTAACATCAAGTATGTTATAGTATATTAAACAACAAGGTTTGAAAACGATTCTGCACACGAGCGAGACCGATCCGAAGGCGAGGTCCACAAGTCGAGCGAGTGTGCAGAGGTTTTCAAACGAGTTTTTTACGATACTTTTGATAAGACTGCAAACAAAGACCACAAAAATCAAATTTTAATTTAAATCGTTTTTATTACTAAAATTGCCAACGCATTAATACAATAAATTAAATACAATTTTTAATTTAACTCGTTTTTATTAAGAAAATTGTTAACGCATTAACAAAAGAAACTAATATTTAATATTTATGGTAACATTTGAACATTCCTTCAAGGTTACGCTGGGTAAAGCAGTATTATTGTGCACCTTGTTTTCGGTAATAGAGAATATTTTTGGTGTCGTGTTTTTAGTGCAGTTTTTCAGCGTGCGGTCGTTGTTTTCTTGTTGTATTCCAGTAGACGATCGTTGTTCTGGTTCTGTGGCAGCAGAAGACACTGAAGACTCTATCTTTTTCGAAACTTCCATTTTATTTCTCAAACAGTCATCAACGTAGCCTTCGGCAACTGTGCTGGATTTCCACCCTCCATGGCGTTTGAGGGCAAGCAGATTTGAGCCAGAATTGACTAAAATTGTGGCCGATGAACGCCGAAAACAATGTCTCGTGTAACTTTCTGGATTCTCTAGCATCAAAAACTTAGCGATTTCCCTAGCCATCTTTCCAATTTTGTTGATGCCAACGTTTTGGCTTGAACATTTTCCGTTTTGATAGTTTAAAAAAAACCTGCCTGTCTTCAGATTAGGAGGACGAAGAGCACAGTACTTTTTTAAGATAGTGTAAAGGTTTCCTGTAATTGTAAATCACCTTGGTACCTTTGTTTTTGTATTCTTCAGTTTAATCAGCATAGCACTGCCGAAATCTTTGGTGTCTTCTATTTTGAGATAACATAATTCCTCCCTTCGACATGCCCCAGATAGTCCAACTGCCACCACCGCCTTGATAAGTAAATATTTGTTGTCTGATGCTTTCGTCAAAAACCGGCAAAAATCATCTTCTGTGAGGATTTGGGACTTCTTTGGGACGTAGTTTTCGGATTTTCGTTTGAGAAGATCTATGTTGTGATTGGCACTAAACGTTGACTTGAGCATCGAAAAAATCGTCCACAACGTTGAAGATTTATATTTCTTAGATAGTTCTTCAAAATACACCATTACTGCGGATTCTGAGAAAGTTTGGACATTTTTGGCTAGTCGCCAGTCCATAAATCGGCTTAACTCAGCTTCATACCTGCTTCTGGATTTTGTGGGCAGCAGTTCCGAACATATTTCGCTTGCTTTCTGTAAAATCTTTCAGAATCACACATTTTCACACCCAAACTTCGGGAATTTAACAATTATCTAATCAATAAAATAAAGAAGCCGTGACGGTTGCTATGAAACTCAGCCAACTTGAAACATTGCATAATTTGGGTGACAACATCAAACAAAAATCACAATCTGGAGACGCGTGTGCAAAGATGACATAACCGTGTGCAAAATGTTTAGCACACGGCGTGTGCAAAATACCGTTTTCAGAGCGTGTTTTCCGTGCGAAAAACCCCCTTTTGCAAGGCAGTCGTATAAAAAATTGTTTTATTAATTAGAACCACAAATTAACTTTATTAAATATGTAATAATAACAATAGCGTCAAAAGCAGTTGAATTTGCTGATATAAAATATGTGTGTATTTTGTTTATTTGTGCCGTGCAGTGTATTTTTTTTCGAACTGCCCCTTTTGATTTTTTTTACAAAATTGTATTCATCTCCTGTATATTCAAAAAAATTTTTTTTATACGTTTTGTATCACCCTGTATATTTTAAATAAAAGTGTAGTACTTTAATAGACAACTTAGATACTATTTTATGCCGTAGATCAACTACGGCGTGTTGAAGGTGTTACACAAATTTCTCCACCTTATATCACTGGAACTACTTTGACTTTTCCTTCGACGGAATTTTCAGCTAGCTACAGAAGGACGTCTCAATCCACCATGTCGTTTTAAAATTGAGAGATCGGCACCAGAATTTTTAAGAAAAATCGCAGATGTACAACAAAAACAATGACCTATAAAAAATTTGAGCTATTCTCTTCTCATGCAGCACAGATTGGTTACATAAGGGTTTATTTATTAATCGTTCAAAAAGCTTGAAACTGAATGGCTTTTGCTAAAACAACAGTAAACAGTAACAGTAAAACAACAGTATAACTTGTAAAGTTTTAATACAGTCGTAAAATGATGCCCAAGATTGTTTTGCATTGGTTATAAGATTCAGTTATAAAGTGCGAACAATGGATAGACTGACGTTTCTAGTAAAGTTCAGCTATCCACTGACAAACTGTACTCGACAGCCTGTAATATCTTCAGAAAATCATTTATTACACCAAGAGATATTTTGTGATTCCACGTTTTTAACAATATAATAATTTGCCATCAGTTTTATCGTTTACGTTAGCAACATCTTGATCAGCAACAGTACAATTTTCAGCCAAGCTTATTGTCAACATAATTCACTTTTTGGATAGTACTTTTTCCAAGGATAAAGCTAAACTTCCATTTTATATTTGTTTATTTTGTATGAAGTATAATTACTAACTGTGATCCTGTATCTTGCACATCATCAAGAACCATATTTTATAACTCTTCGCGACAAAAGCCAGCAGCTAGACCTACCATTGCAACCACATTCTTCCTTAATAGAAGTTTCATAAAACGGTTTACTTCCTCTTTGAGAGGGGTCAGAATTTTGGGTTGATTAGAATAATATGCAAACAAATGCTATAAATCTTAGAAAATATGAAATATTCACATTTTTTATGAACATAACCATTGAGTATTTTGACCACAATGACGTACTACTAACTTTCTTAGATTAAATACGTAAAAAGGAAAGTGACACAAAAAATTTGTACTTCCCACACCCAAAAGTATGTAAAAATAATCTTGTATAGAGTCACTGTAATTTTTCCCATTGCCAAAAATGCTGGTAATCCTTTTTATCGTACCTTCTAGAAAATTTGTAGAAATCAATTTTACTGCTCCTTCCGCAATTTTCAATAGAATTTCATTTAAAAAAGTCAAAACCCAGGCTCGGTTCTTACGTTGCCTCGTCCATAAACATCTAAGTCATACAGTAACACACGAGGCAACCACATACTAATAATAATAGTTTAACCCTTTTACAGATTTGGATAAATCCATTTCAATAAAAGCTTTGTGTTTCTCGAATTTTTTTCGTAGAATGCATTGTTCACGTGTAATAGCCAATTATAGACACACACAAATACGTTTGTGTTTTTGATTCACGCAGTGTTACGCGAGATTGAGAGAGAACGCATTCGACTAAAAGGAATAAGACGTAGAAGCGGCGATTTGAGATTGCGACTTCCTGGAGCCCTTGCCATGTCCATTGGGTATTTGTGGGCGGAGCTATCTCAGACTCAAACTTATTTGTATCGATCCGAACTTTTCTCTAATTTTAATAATTAGAAGTACGTAATCCCGCCTGAAATAAGAGTGAATTTGAGAAAAATTCTATTTTATAATAAAGTTTTAATAAAAAATTAATCCACATTTCCAATCTAAAAGAACATTATTTTTCAGGTTTGTTTGACAGGTCAAAATTCCGCACGTCTATTAATTTTTCTTGAGGTAATTACAACGGGAAAACTGCTCTGTGTCAATTTTGACGTCCATATTTTCAATAGTTTTTTCTTTAGGACAATGTTACGCTTGCTTCCATGTCTATTTTAACGAAAATAAGCAGTCTGTTGTTACACAATTACGCCGCCGTTACTCCCTGTACCTGCCATTGAAACAGGTTTATTTGATTATTAATTATTAAGGTCTCATGTAGTAAGAAATTTTGAAAAACGTCGGCTTACCCTAGCAGGGATATCCGCCTTACAAGAGGCTATGGTTAAGATTGGAAGTCCGGCGTGGACATCTTCTAAAGTGGACACGATGCTGTGTTGATCGCAGTCGTCTATGTAATCCCACCATTCATCAATTCTCGACAGTAAAATAACAGCGGGGAAGTTAAATTGGACGTTGATAAAATTCGTCAACTTGGTTCTCTAGAATTGTGTTAGATTCAATATTAAAAAGCTTTATGTGAGAAACTAACTCACATCGAATAATCTTGTATCGTAAACAAAAGACGGTAAATGTTCCAAATGTTTCAAAAGGGACGGCACTAAATGGGTGTTCAGTCCTTGCGTGTTTGACCCTACCAGTAGAATTCTACCAGCATATCGTTTTTCGCCTACAGTATATCTGCAATAAGACAATGTAGATAATTATCTAGCTACTTTGTTTCACATACGGTTGAAATTAATATATAGATATTTTAAATCGCTAGACTCTATTATTAATTAGTAATTACGAGTATCTACCTGCTACCTACATTCAAATACTTACCTGTAACCTTCTTGTAAGAAATGTGGCCAAAGCAAATGCAAATATCTTAAGATTCTGGTTAGTTGTCTGTTCAGAAGTGGTTTGATTATGTGACTGAGGTTCCTTATTGCTCGACCCTGTTTGAAGGTGGACGGTACTAAATTTAACCTAGCTGCCAAAAAGTCACAGTCTTCAACCTAGACAAATTATATAAAAAAGTAAACCAAAATAGTGAAAGTAATAAGTAGACTAATATCTGTTTACATTAATCTTCTTCGAGATTGTATAAGTAAGACTTATATTAAAATTAAGCCTAAGCTGAAATATTTTGTTGTTCTAATGAAACAATGTAATTTAAAAAAATTAATTTGATGTTTTAAAACGTATCTTTTCTTTTTGTTATTCATTTATTATACAGTTACCAAATCTGACAATCAGGATCGCGGTAAAAGTCATTGTTGCTATAGCCAAATATTACTGAAATTACTCTTAAACTAGGTGCCTTCTTTGGATATTTGCTAATGTTAACACCTAGTTCACCCTTTATAAGATTTGGGAGCAGATTTTGTGAAAAAGTTTCCAATGATTCTGTCGTAGTATTGCTTCTATGCCCTCAATATGCCAAAAATAAAAACAGATTATCGAAATTAGATTCAGTAAATAGGAATGATACTTCATCACAGTTCATAATGATTTGGCTGTGAGTTAAAAATTATTATACTGTCAGTGTCGTGTGAGTTGTAGCAACACATTTTTCTATTGCTGAAATTATTCTATTCTATTGACACTGATATCAGGAACAGTACGGCAGCCGTTTTCAAGGTCGTTTCGCAAAATTGCTTTAAAATTATCATAAAAAGTGAACGAGCTTCTAATATTGGTATATAATTTCCCAGAGGAAGTACTTTGAACTTGCCAATTTTACCGCGTAAGTTCGCGAACTTTGTTGTCAATCCTCGTACGTCTATACATATTTATTTATATTTATGCCTTTCTCTTCGTTTCCGTTGTTGTAGATTCAGAGTTTCAGTATATGGTTCTTAAAATCAGACTGAGCTCAATAAACCATAAACATATCATTACCGGTTGCTATTTTCACTTAATATATCTCACGTCACATAATGTAACGTTATGTAACTTACACTTCCGATTTCTACTCTCACAGTAAATTTATACCTAATAAATTTTTTAACTTTCTATTACAATTTTATTATCTTTATGAATAAAATGTTGTCTAATAAAAATTCAATTTTAATTGGAGGACACTACAAATTTAAATACACTATTAATCATAAAATGTGTATTTTTTTAGAAATCATCTCCCATTAAATTCTTAAAATTGACATTAACATTAAATTCGTAATAAGAAATCATAATATTTTCAAAACACAACTTTTGTCATAAATTTCTTCTCTCCGGTTAATCCTTGATGTGATGATCTAAGATTAATTATCTTAGATCATCACTGCTTAATAGCAGAGAGCAAATCAATAATTTTTAAATTAAAGCGGTGTTTCAAAGATGATATTTTTTCCAATCATTTATTCCTGATTCCTTGGTGATAAATAACATTTTTTAGTTTCAAATGTCGTTGATTTCATTTCGAGGAAATTTTAATCGGTGACTTTTCTTATGGAAAATGCTATCTTTTTTTAAATATCTGCTAAATATAAAATAAATATCTTGAATTTACAGAATTTATAGGCGTTGCTTGATTAATTTTAAAGGGAGGTACACAAAAGAAAGAATAAATGATGTCTTGATCAGATTATGGCTTCATAATGAATTTTCATTTCATAATAATTTCCTGTGTTTTAATTTAATCTTTCTGGTTTTAAGATAATGTTTAGATAATGGTTAGAGAAAATATGACGTATAATAATGTTAATACATGTAATGTCATTTGGATGTAATAATTATGTAATAAATAAATTCTATAATTTTATGGAGGCTATATCTATGTCTACGTATATGTATATCATTCTTGTGTAAATTATTCTTGTGTAGATTAAGGAATCATATTAATAAGTTTTCTTAAATAAAATACAAATAAGTTTTCATACATAATTTCTACATAATATATTTATTAGCGAACAAATAACAGAGGAACAACAAAAAAAAATAAAATTAATAACAAAGCGTCACAACTAAAAAAAAAATAACAGTTACAGAACAGTCTTCTTGATCTCAGTAGTACTTAGGGTGGTGGTACACGACCTTGTAAACCGGCACCTTAATTGGCACAGGCCTGGGGATATGGATGGGTACATTAACCTCCACCGGAATAGGTACAGGTTTTTCTATGTGGTATGGTATGGCCCTCTCAATGGGCACTGGCACTGTTTTCTCTATGGGCACGTGGATAGTCTTGAGTACAGGAATCGCCACTGGCTGTGGCACCTTGATGTGAACGGGGTAAGGTTGGTGAACGGGTATTGCTACAGGTTGCGGTAGTGGCACAGGCACCGTATGAGGAAGAGGCACTTTTTCGTGCCTGAAGATTGGGATGGGGACGTGTCTGGTGATCTCCACCGTGTGAGAAACCTCTGCACCGCCTCCTACGCCACCTCCAAAGCCGCCTCCATAGCCGCCTCCAATACCACCCCCGTGACCGATTTCGATGCCTCCTCCAGCGCTACCTCCATAGCCACCTCCGTAGCCACCTCCGCCGCCGCCACCTCCAAATCCGCCCCCAATACCACCCCCGTGACCGATTTCGATACCTCCTCCAGCGCCACCTCCATAGCCGCCTCCGTAGCCACCTCCGCCGCCGCCCCCTATGCCACCTCCATAGCCGACCGCTACAATACCACCCCCTTGGCCACCTCCTACGCCGCCGCCGCCTCCAATGCCACCCCCATGTTCACCTCCGACGACGCCTGCTCCTATACCGCCTCCATATCCACCACCGTAGCCACCACCTCCACCGCCACCTCCATAGCCTCCGATGTCACCACAATTCACAAATGTCAGCACTTGTAGTGAAAAGATAAAGTACACAAAATAATTCATTGCTGTACCCAGGGAACTCGGTATAGATGTCTTAGGAAGAAGTTGTAAGGAACTATGGGATGTTTTGTGAATCTTCCAATTATATACGTTGTAGTCTTTCACTTTACTTTCACTACATCCCTCATAGGATCACAACGTTTGAAGACGTAATAATTGGAAAAGTGACATTTAGTAGAGCGGTGTTTATCATTATGTAAGATTCAAATTCCTATAAATTAATTTGATAGCAAGAAAGTCACACAATTAAGTGGATTTTTTAACGAATCAATTTGGGAACATACGGTTTGAAAATGATATATGTAAATACACATTTAATGTGACAAGATTTATAATATACAGGGTGTCCCGGTACCTGATACAAAAAAGTCGAGTACAAATAGATGAGGTCTAAATAATATCAGTTCTTCATATACATTTTTTTCATACGGGCCTTCGTTGACAAGTTACGGGCCCTCAAATGTGAAAACAAAAAAGTTATTTTTGTTTACAGTCTCTAAACTATTAACATCAGCATGATGCAAATTCGGGCATGCTCTTCTTAACCAAAATAATGGCGTCCACGTACCACTTCCGGTTATACCGGAAGTCGCCATCTACTTGCTTATTTTAAATGGAACACCCTGGACTTTTATGAAGTTCCTCTATTCCTAAAATTAACCGTTTTCGAGATATTTAATTTTTTTCAAAAAAATGGAGAGAAACAGTGACTAGCTTCAAACCATGTGTATTTTATAGTAAAAAAGATAAAGCAACAATATTTATAGGGGGATAGCTAGACCCCTAATACCTATCTCTTCTAGTTTTTAGTTATCTACTACTTTTTTGTGTAATCACCTAAAATCATGTAGTTTCTTGCGAGAATAGCTGTGGAATTTTTAGCAAAACTTCAAAACAGTCAACTAAACTGTCAATTTGTTGTTAGTCTCTTGTAGTGACAGTTTTATTTAGTGTTTATAAGAAATGGAAGACAATACATTTCAAATGCTGATATTTTAAATTTATTATTCATTTACGGACGTTGTAATGGTATTATAAGCAGAACATCAAATTTGCCACCAATGAGCAGAAAAAAGAAGAATTTTAGCAAATCGACTAGCCACTTTGAAAGCATGGATGGAAAGCTTAGTGGTCTAGCTATCCCCCTATAAATATTGTTGCTTTATCTGTATTACTATAAAATACACATGGTTTGAAGCTAGTCACTGTTTCTCTCAATTTTTTTTAAAAAAATTAAACATCTCGAAAACGGTTAATTTTAGGAATAGGGAAACTTCATAAAAGTCCACCTAAAATAACACGTAGAATCCAAAATTGCAATAATATATAAGGTGTTCCATTTAAAATAAATTAATGACGACTTCCAGTATAACCGGAAGTGGTACGTAGACGCCATTATTTTAGTTGAGAAGGGCATGCCCGAAAACCTGGTATCCCAAATTTTCAAAATTCAAATCGAAGTAGTCTCTGAAATAATTCCAATGAGCCGTCACTGTGAGACACCCTGTATGTGATATATTCAACAGTGTGGTAAATTTATTTGAGTTTTGTTCTAAAATGAATGATTTGAAAATATGAGATAAACCTAGAAAATACCCTGCTTATAAAAATAATTAGCTTTACAACACTTTTGTTATTCGCAAATATTAATCAGTATACTATCATTGCTCTCGAAAATTATAGGTAAATATAATTACATAATAATTAATAGAGTGTGAAGTTATGAATTCCTGCAATCCTATGAATAAATAAATATCTTCTCTTTTTGAAAATGATTTTGCCTCTTTTAACAAAGTTTCGTTATATCAAAAAAATATATTTTTCTCCTTTCTTATCGACCTTCCTCCATGTGATTTATTATTTCCTGCGTGGATGAACCATTATGTAAAATTCTTCCATTTCTCCAAAATTAAATCAACTTTCTCTGACTTTGGCAAAATTAAACTTTCTTAATTTTTATCAGCCTGTTCAAGTGTAGGATTATGTAACTGTGATTTATTAGGACAGGTTGACCTCTGTATAATTATTCAGTCTCGACCATCAAATGTAAAAGAAATGGTAAAAAATAACAAGGAACTTGCGGTTTGTGATAGCTGTTACAAAGAAGAAACCATTTACACTATTACGTATGATGTTTAGTAACTGACAATGTAAATTTTATATTTCTTATGCTGCAAGTATGGTGATT